CCCTTCCCCCCCCCCCCATCCTTTATGCCAGGAAGAGATTCCCAGTAAATAAATGTTGAGTTCTTTGCCTCAGAAATCTCATGGATCTCACTAGCTGTGGGAGAAGGATTACCACTTTCAGCTCCTGAAGTTACACTGGATGCATGAGAATCTCAATATACGGTCATCACATTTTTGTGTTTGCAGAGAGAAACTTGAGAATATAAAATTTGAAATTTCTATTGTCAATCAACAAGTGTAGGCACTTTTTAAATAAAATGCTAAAAAAAATAACAAAAATCTGGAATGATTCTGCTTTTTCATGTTTAGTGTTGGCAGTACACCCTCCTGTTTATATTTACCTTGTAAAGCATTTTTGTGCAGTTTCTGGATTCATTATAAATTATTTTAACACACACATGAAGAGCAGATGCCACTTTACTATAACTCCCATTTGGAAACTGCCAGCGTTAGTAATGGCAATGTAAGAAGAGAGATGAGCTGCCTGGGTGAACAAGATACTCTTTCAAGAACTTGAGGTGTAGGCAAGCTCTGGAGTGATGAATGTTTTAACATTTAATCTGCTCCTACCTATTGTACTTCAAAGGCTCTAGAGTGAGCAGCCTGTACCCAAACTGGCTGTATTTCTGCCATATTTTTGTTAATAGGCAATGACACATCAGACACACTCATGCATTAAAGAAGGCACGTGACACCTCGTTCAAATGTGTGTCGCCATGATTAAAGATAATTGCCAAGTGACTTAGGCAAATACACTTAGACTGCCATTTAGCCATTCACCTTGGAACCAAATAACTATTCTTTCATTTTATGTCTCCTAAAATGCAGCTCTGCCCCTCTACAGTGATGCAGTAATATATGCCAAAAGCATTATCCTCAAGTGACATAATCTCCTTGTGCGAATACCTCCCAATGTCTCCCGATCTGTATTATAGAGACAACTTGCCTTAGAGATTCAAAAATCCAGTCTCCTCAAACCCGCAAAGCTTAATATGTTCAACTTCTATTTGGCATTCCAATCTTACTTGGAGCTTTCTACCTGTAATGGTTAGTTCTCATATAGCAATTTTAATAAAGTGAGCACAAATTAAATCGTAAAGAAAATTATTCCATATATAGGGATGGGAAAACGGAAGCATTTGTTGTTAGTTCAGTATCACAATGTAGTGCCAGGTTCAGAAGAACCCATGTATTTGTCCTAGGCTGCTGCTCTGTTCACTCATCATTACTGTCAAGGAGGAATAAAACCGTAAGTATGAAGACTGGGGAAGACAGAATTATTCTTTAAGGTAGCTTGAAACGTTTCACCGTAGTGGATGGAATTACGTCTTCCTGTCATTCACTGCTAAGCAGACACTTCTGAGATGTAGTCAAAGCCCGTGAGAAATCTGTGGAAATCGTGAGTACATCACTTTTAGCTCAGCGCTGGAGAAATCCACCCTTTAAGCACCTACCACTCTGTTCTTCTCACTTCCATAAGTTCATGAGTGTGATGCAATTATCCTCGATTCAAGCTAGTAAAACTGAGATCAGAATTAGATTACTACCTCAACTTTTGAAGTGATAAATGATAGTTTGAGGACAGAATCAGTGAAAATCCAGCCTTAGAGGCAGCCAATATCAAGAGGCATCAGGGTTACAGAATAATGTGACATTTGTATAAGCAGCAGTATTACCCTAGCTTTAAGGAAAACTTAATATTTTCCTCAAAAAGAAAGAAGACTGATTGGATGGAGGAGCACATTAAACTGTCATATACACGCTGGCTATCATTTATATCTACAATTTTATTCAAGCTATTTTTTTCTTTCCTCTCAGGTATTGTTATTCCCCCTTTTCACTTTTTCTAAATCCAACCATTTAAACCTCCATTTTGTGGAGTCCACTTCCTGCCATGTCTGCAGCATGTTTTCTCTCGTCTCAGAGTTCGTCCTATGCCCTACCTTTGTAGTCCACATATGTAGACATCTATGTGTTTTTGAATGTGGAAAGATAAAAGCTGAAGTGGTGAATGGTGTCAAATGCATGTAGACATTGGGCCACTTCAACGGCACTGTGCCCTGCGAGCAAGATCTGGGCCTCAGTTTTCAAGTTTCTCTTGAAAACAGTTGCTCAGTGTTCTCTATCTTGCATACGGTTTCCCCCAAGCTATAGTCTGCTTTTTTAACACACAAAATTCCTCTTCCATCTCTTCTTTTCACTGGTAAGTTGGTATTTTTTGTACTTTTTCCCATGGTCCAGAACAGCTTTCCTGACTGCATCTGACTGACCATCTACATCTGGCTTCCCTGTGTACAAACACAGCGCAGAGCCACACAAAAATAAGAACCAAAGCATCACAACTTCTTGCAGCTCATTTGTCCTACTAAGCAGCAAAGTATTTTAACCCAATGGCAGCGTTGCTGTACTACTTCCAGTATTTGCGTCACCATGAGGACCTGCGTGTGCAGACTATTTGGCCACAGACATACCTGCAGTGTCAGTGCCTGGTGCATGTCAGGCCTATGCAGGGACCTGAGTAGATCACAGTAGTTTAACAGAAATAAATTGAGAAGTTGAGCTGGGTAAGTCATTGTAGAACTACTCTGTGGACACCTTTTACAGCAGTTTCCATCCCTTATTGAGTGATTTAGCTTGCATCAGTGAATCTCAAAGGTTTTATAGCTGACTCCTATGGAAAGCTCCTGAAAAAGGAAATGAATTCTTACAAGGCTGTACAATATAAAAGTTGCATAAAATGCTTTCATTTATTTTTTTCTTCCATTTTCTTGATTGCATAATAGAAGAATCCCTATTTCTGTGTGCTATTGTCTTTGTGAAAATCAGTATGTGTATAAAATGCAGCCTTGACAGACAGCATTTCCTCAGATCTAACAAAATTACTACCAAGGAGCCATTTTTCTTGCCACAAAGATGTCTTAAGACATTTTACAGCTGCAGATCAGGTATCTCATTGTAGCCTCTTCATGGGTTTAGCAGGGTGCAGGCAACTACTGGATCATCGCAGATAACTGAGGCTTCAGAGATCAGCTCCTTTCTTTAGAGTCTGCTGTGTTCTGTTCCCTAATATAACTACAGTTTCATTTTTGTGTTTTTTAAAAGTTTCTTTAGAGTTACAAAGAAAAAAATCAGATTGCCAATTTATCCTTAATTGGTGTGATTTTTACCTTGTTTAAAAGCAGCACAAGTAATTTTTTTCTGAGATGAGAATGTTCTCCATCTCATCTAAGCACTGATTTGGAAGTTTTAATTACAAATCAGGTGGAAACATCATTCGTTTTTTGCAGCTGGAGAGAGTGGTTAAGAAAAGAGAGGCAGCAACTAGGTGATGTTTGCCCCTGCAGAACATAAAAGTGAGAAGGGCAGTTCCCATCACAATCTGCACACGTTACTGTGCCCTGATGCTCAGAGCAGGCTACGGCTCTTGCTTCCTTATGGTGTAGAATGGGAAAATACTACTACTTTTTCCTAAATTTGATCCCCATGCCGCCTGGACAGTCTTGGTTCCTCTCTAAGTCCTGGGACTTCAGTTACCTCAGTTTCACATTTTCCTTCTCCTGTGCTGAGTTAGCAAACAGAGTGAGCAGCAGCAGGAGCAGGAGCAGCAAAGGGGGGAGCAGGAGGAACGCGGGTGCTTTCCCTGTCCTGCAGGAATTGCTTTGGTTGCTCTGTATCTTTAAGGGGCTGACCCTATCCCACGGTGAGCCATTATAAAGGCAGGTAAGCAGCAGTGCCCTGATCTAGGAGCTGAGAGCAAGGCAGGGTGCAGCTCCCCTGTAATGACTGGCCACCACAGTTGGGGATATGGGCAGGATGACGGTAGGTTATAGCATTTCCATGCTGCATCTATCTTCCCCCACTCATTTTCTTTCTAGAACTGTTGCCTAAGCCCTGCAGAGCTGCCTGTGTTTCAATGTCTGCAAGCATCAAGTATATACAGCAGGTAATTAATTACTTTATGGATAATAAATAGCACCTGGAAAGTGGCACCAAAAGATGCTCAAACTTATGCCTGCTGCCTTTCATTGTTGCAATCAATGTTCCAAAACTGAGGGAACCAGTACTGAGTGGTTGCTTTTCAGGCTGCAGATATTACAGATGGGTCCGTTTCAAAAAAAGCTGTTATGAAAAGGATTAACTGTGTCTGTCTCTCCGAAAGCAATTCTTTTAAGTAAAGAAGATTTAGTAGAGCAGTAGTAGATCTTCTGATCCTGTGCAGCTGTTGAAAAGTGATATCTAGGCTTCCATAGAAGTGAATAAAATAAGGTGTATGTTATATATTTCTAGAACATCAATAAATTGTACAGATCAGTATCGGAGATCTCTTATAGAACAATTTATGCTTTCTGATTTGACAGCTTTTAATTTAGTCATCCTCCTTTGCTTCCCACCTCTAAGAATGTGTGTCACAGAGTGAGAGGATATGTGAAGCTACTGAAAGATTCCTACAATAGTGTTTTATAGCACCTGTATCCTTTACAGAGAAGGATGGATGAGTGACTGGTGTTGTCCAATAAGACAATCTTCTGCATAACCTTCAGGAGTCCCTCTCGCTTTTGACGGCAGTTATTTTATCTGCTGAGTATCCAATAAGTCTTCTGCATAACCTTCAGGAGCCAGTCTCTCTCTCTCTCAACAGCAATTATTTTAGTTTCTGTGAGTTCAAAAGCAAGTTTGAACGCTAAGTGAAGCTGGTTAGTGCTAGTAGATAGTGTTATGTGTTTGGGCAGATAGGTAGTAATAATAAATATTCTTACAAAGCTCATGAGAGACAAATTACATTGCCTAAGCTTGTGTAACCGCATTTAAATCCTAAATCTGCTTTTTAGGCAGGCTAAGAAAAGATACTGTTTTATAAGCTTAGCTTTTTCAGAAAATGCCAAAGACAAATAGGAGCATAATAGATTACTGATTTTGTTACATAAACTCAAGGAGGGTAAATACCTGTGCTTGATTAAAAAAAGTTTCCACTTGTGAAAGTGTGTGAGAATGCTACAATTAAAAATGTGCTTCTTAGGAATCTTAAAGTAAAATTGTTACTGTTAATACTTTCTGAACGTAAGCAGTAAAAGAATTTAATTGCTTCTTGCACTACCATACCAAAGTAGAAAAAGAAGTGGTAAGAACAAGTAATTATTTGATACAGACAAGGTTTTGTTATCTCAAACACCATAAGAATGTTCCAGCTCTGGCAGCAGAGAGCTGTGTTATTAAATTGGTCTTTCTCCCCACTCTATTGGGGTCAGGAAGTCCAAAAATGTTAATTATCACACTATACCCTTCACTCAGGGCAGAGAGATACCATAATGGGCATGAGTGAAGAATGAAGCTGCCTCAAAGATTTACTGCAGTCATAAAATGGTTTTAAAAATAACTGCATAGTCAGTAGCTAAGAGATTGAGTCATCTGCATCTAATTTGAATCACCGGAGCTTTTACACTATCTTTCCCAGGAAGAATTAAATGCTGTTTCTTTGGGGGAATGTATGTGTGCATGCAAGTGTATTTACACCTGCACCCACCTTGGAAGGTCTTCAGATACCTTAGCAACGTAATTACAAACTCCACAGAAAATCAGTGGCACAAGTAACTGAGGATACAGCTGTCTGTTGATGTGCTGTGATTTCCTCAGTGTGTTTTGTACAAAGTATTTGAATCCCCCGTCTTGTTGCAGCCTGTTTGTGCTAATAAAAACACACCAGCTTAGAATGTAAGTAAACGCCTTGGCTAACAAATTTTCAAGTCACTCCTGCTCAGCAACCTTTACTTCAAGCCTCATAAAAACCTGTAATGATTATTTTGTATATAGGAGAAAATAACGGTGCTTTCCTTTCTTTCCTTTTGAAGGACCTTCAGAGTGGCACAAATCTTATCCTATTGCACAAGGGAATCGCCAGTCACCTATTGATATAGCTTCTGCAAGAGCAGTTTACGACCCTAATCTGAAGCCACTTATTCTCTCCTATGAATCGTGTACATCTCTCAACATCTCCAACAATGGCCATTCAGTTATGGTTGAGTTTGAAGATACTGATGACAAGACAGGTGAGACTAACACACAGCCAACTAACTTGGAATACCGTTTTGTGACTTAGTGAGGGAAACAATTAAGTACATCCTGTATAGTCTATTTTATATGATGTATCATTTCAGTTTAGAACAAGGCATATGACCAGAGCCCTTTATATTTTGTCTTCTCGAGCCTCACATTTCTTGTCTTCACATGACAAGTTGCAACGCAGTATTGCACAGCAGAATAGTGTTTCTGCATTAGGAAAAGCTCTTGCATCAGGAAAATCAGAAGTTTGTTTGCAGTGCTTCCCTTTTAAACGGGGATTGCCAGTTTGCTAGACAGGGAATCCATGCATCTCTCCAGCACTCCTAGACCACATCCAGCACGCAGAGTAGGTATGTACACTCCTCACTGCCCTGTTTCCATGGTCATCTGACTCAAAGGTGCTAACACACATGCCAGCTCTGTCTGGCTCACTGCCCAGTTTCCATCCACAGGGGCAGGGAAGAGAAGAGGATTAGCAGAGATCAGGTCATACAGCGTAGTCACCATAGTCATAGTCCACTACACCAAGTTGTATCTGGACCAGTCACTAACTGTTACCTTGCATTGTTTTCTTCTTTCCTCCCTGCCTCATAGCAGTTCACTTTCTTCAGAAATTATAAAATCTTCAGCTAATTCTGAGTTGGTAGCAGCTTGCGGATGTTGGACTATCTGCAATTGTATGTTATTCTTGTCTTTTAGCTCTTGGCAGAGAATATACATGCTTTAAGTGGTTGATTACTTCTGTTAATTCTACTTCCATGGTAGACCTTGCTTTTACATCTGGGGGGTTAGAGGAAGAGCATTCAAATGGAGATGATGAAGTAGCTGACAAATGGAAAGAGTACATTTTAAAAAAACACTCTGAACAATTTTTAAACCTATCAGCTGATTTAATCTTCCATTTGGGTGTGTTTATTGATTCTAGCTAAATAGGACATCCTAGATACTCAAAACAAGTTACTTTTTCTGTGATGTGACTTGTCTGTGCTGGTAACCCTTTGAAATAAGGGCTGGGGGTTAAAATTCCAGCCATTGTGTTTTAAAATTTCTCTTCTGGAATGAATCTAAGAAACTGCCCAACTGAATAGTCAGGTTTTTCAAGCATCTTTACTGAATTTGAAGAGAAGACTGGATGTGCATTTTCCAAAATCTTACTACACAGACCCATTAAGCATGTCACCCTACAAAGAACTTGTAAAATATATCTGGAAGTATTATCTTAGCTTGCTAACGATTTCTGTGCAATTCTAAGCTGAACTACATCTACGTAACAGTGAACTTTATCCAGCTTTAAGGTTAAGAACATCATCTATTACTCTGCATTTAGAGATAGACTCAGACCACATGCAGGAATGAAGACCTCTGCCCTTTCTACACTAAGCACATGCCTTGTTTTAATAACACTTTCAAGGAAGATGACTGCTAGGAGTAGAAAACATGGTTTAAAGTGGTTTTCAGTTGTATTGAAATAGATTTAGTGACTCACAGCTCTGCATAAGTGGCACAACAGAATTTTGACAGTAACCCATCATAGCTAGATTTCCTAATAATGTTTGAGACAGGTGATGCATTCCATTGCTGTGTTCAGAATCACATACTAGGAGGTACTTACATTCTTAAAACCTTTGCTTTGGCATGGCCAGTTTCCTGCATAAAGGCCAGCTGGAACTATGCACATGTGGTAGCACTGTGCAAGCCCTAGCTTTAATTTTTTTAATAAAATGTTATGGACTACACTGAGGACAAGTGCTTTACAGATACTAAATGTAATTTTAATTTTCTTATGTAAGACTTTGATCAGGTTTTCATGGCTGGGCAAAATTTATTTGATTTAGTGCCATATACAATTACAGGAGGATTACTGATGTTGTTGATAAAGTATCTTCTATAGGTGGCATCTTAAACATTCATCTGTTCTTAAGTGTTATTTCTAAATGATGTATGAAGTTTCTCTGTAGCATTTCCTCACCTTTATAAGGTGATTTGAGATTCTGAATGGTGTTGTGTAAAGTACAAACTATTATATTACCTCTTTTATGGGATGAGGTATTTAAAGGAAACGGAATATAGATAACCTCCACAGGAAGGGAAGACACTCTAAAGAGGAAATACTTAACTGAATTGTCTACCTGATGCTCAAGGTATCTACACTCTTTTGCACAAAATCTCAAGTAGCACTGTCAAAAATATTTTAGGTCCATGAGTTTGAAATTACGATTTATTTTTTTAATATTCAGCTTGGATTTATTGTGTTTAACAAGAAAGGCATAACCATAACAAAGCTACCACATCTTCATATGTCAAACATACTCTTTCAAAACAGCTACAAAATTCTGTACAAGTAGCCACTCAATGTTTTTTAACTTAAATTTTTACATGAATTCAGGTGCTTTCCATTAAGAAATCCAACCCTTCTAAATGTCTGGATGATGCATATCTTTGATATTGGCAACTGGGTGATGCTGCTGGCTTTTTTTCCACTATTGTGCCAACAGTGGTTAGTTCTTACTAACAGGAAAGTAAAAAGCCAGAATGCTTAAGCTTTTTCCTCTCTTTTTCTGCCTAGCAATCAGCGGCGGTCCCTTTGAGAATCCATTTCGGCTAAAGCAGTTTCACTTTCACTGGGGAACAAAGCACAGCCAGGGATCGGAGCATACAATTGATGGCAAACCTTTTCCATGTGAGGTGATGATGTGTTTTTACAGATGGGATTAGTTCATGCAAATGATGTTGACAAGTGACTTTGTCTGCAGTGGGGACTGCATGTCTCTCAGGATTCTGATTACTTACTCACCATGGTTAGGTCAGCACAGACTTCAATGCAAGGAATAAAATTCTCATTGAAGTTTTCTGTTGATCACCCTGTTTTTTTAGAATGCAATCCTGTCCCTGCAGTGCAGCCCTTTCTCCAAGATTCTCAGTCATCTTACCCTATGCAAGGGGACACAGTTAGCCCCACAGTTTAGCTGCTGTGCTCACACAGCACCTCTAACAGCCCATTGCTGTGTAGTTTAGCCTGCTGCACACAATTGATTGCATGCTTTTACTCATACAGATAGGAAGGATATACTGACAAACAGGATGCTGAGAAGCCATGTATAGCTTCACTACCTGGCTGTTGTGGTTTAACCTGGCAGGCAGCTGAACGCCACACAGCTGTTCACTTACTCCCTACAGTGGGATGGGGGAGAGAATTAGGAAAAAGTAAAATTTGTGGGTCGAGATAAAGACAGTTTAATAGGAGAGAAAAGGAAGGGAAAAATAATTACGATGAAAGAATACACAAAATAAGTGATGCACAATGCAATCGCTCACCACCCGCCAACTGATGCCCAGACAGTTCCCAAGCAGCGGTCACTGCCCCTGCAGCTAACTCCCCCCAGCTTTACATGCTGAGCATGACGTCCCATGGTATGGAATGTCCCTTTGGCCAGTTGGGGTCAGCTGTCCTGGCTGTGCCCCCTCCCAGCTCCTTGTGCACCCCCAGCCTTCTCAGTCGGTAGAGCATGGGAAGCTGAAAAGTCCTTGACTAGTGTAAGCACTGCTTAGCAACAACTAAAACATCGGTGTGTTATCAACATTGTTCTCATCCTAAATCCAAAACACAGCACTGTACCAGCTACTAGGAAGGAAATTAACTCTATCCCTGCCGAAACTAGGACACTGGCACAGTTAGCTTAGGCTTCACTGATGATCACAACCTGTGAAATGACCATGCTGGTGCTATCCATAGCTTAGAAATGGCTTCATCTGAGGGCTCTTGAGAGTTCTGCAAAGCTAGGACAAGGCACAGGCCTTTCCCAGCACAATCTATCCCAAATACTACAGTAGCGTAGCATCCTGGAGTCTACCAGTGAGCACTGGAGCATAGTGCTTCATGAGATGAAGGCCCATACCAGAGAAGTTGGGTCACAGGTTGATGTCTGATTTGTTTCAAATTAAGGCTGATAAATATAACTTTGTTTAGTGTCTGTCCATGCTTATGGACTGGTCCAAAAGACAGAACTTGCTCATCTTTCCAAAGATGCCTTTGGAGCAAAACCTACTTTCTGTTATGAATGACCATTAGTGCCTGTTAACATGAGACAACCTATGTTCACAGCTTCTATCACTAATTTGTTTAATTCTTATTTGTTATTTTTTCTTTAAAGCTCCACTTAGTTCACTGGAATGCCAGAAAATATGCAACATTTGGAGAAGCAGCAGCAGCTCCAGATGGCTTGGCAGTAGTTGGTGTTTTCTTGGAGGTAAGAATCACAAAAATAGCATGTTTACATGATGAAAAGCATTATGCTGTCAAGTGTTTGAGAACCAAGCCGCATATTTAAGAAGTGCTTAAGGAAAACAGATGACTTATTGGAAGCAGTAACTCATTGCAAATTGCTATTAAACTTACTTTAGTAGGAATGTTGAGATTCAGATAAGAAAACAAAACCTATTCAAAGCATAATTATAGTAATACTTATTTAACCCGTCTATTCCATTATTTTAGATTGGGAAAGAACATGCCAATATGAACAGACTCACTGATGCTTTGTACATGGTAAAATTTAAAGTAAGTTTTAAGCTTTTTAAATTTTATTGTTTCTGGGTTATCCTTTAAAAATCAAGCTCATGTACATGTTTGAGACAAAAATCAAAAATCACCCACCACAAATCCTCCCATCATTAGAACATCACTGTAGCTGTATTCTCTTCTTCTCTTCCAAAGTTCAGTTTATTTGCCTAATTTCAGGCACCTCCCAAGGTTATGCTGACCCCACTGGTCATGCAGAGGTTCTACTTTTCCCAGAGTATCTGAAATAGAAAGCTCCATAACCCTTTAGGCTCAGCTCTTACACTCAGCAAAATAATCCTTTTCCACTTGCCTTCAACAAGTCAAAGCTGGCTGTCTATATTCTGCTGCAAAGCTCTGTCAGGGGACAATCTTAATGAGGTCCTGAGCTAGTCTATTCTTACAGTGATACCTGAAGGTGGTCTTTAAGCAGATGTATCTGAGAGCTTTGAAGATTGATACATGCTGCACTTTCTCAAGTGCAGACTGATTAGACCACTACAAATGTTATCCTTTCTGGACTTACATGAGGCTAATGCATTCTATAACATGCATAAGTTCTAATATGCAAAATAAACTACATCTAATACTTGAGCGGGCATATTATTTCTTGCTCCTCTGTATATGCTTGTGAAAGACAGGAAATTAAGGCAGTTACACAGCAATATGTAGGCTGCAGACAATAAATGATACTTTAAGTGGTTTCTTCCACTTGCAGGAAAGAAATAGTTATCCCTCAGCTGCAGTGATGGAAGGTCTGCAGGCTTGCCACTGGGGATAAGCTGCTCATTCTGTTCCTTATGAGCAATTTTACAGACAATTGGACAGTGCTTTCTGAGTGACTAAGTGCCTTTCAGATACTCCTACAGGCTGAAAAAATCTTGCCCTAGACTGCAGTAGTTAAGGCAATCATTACTTTAGGCAGCAGCTCCTTCTATTTCTACTGGTCTTTTGGTTGATCCACCTTCGTGTAATTATAGGCTTGAACACTTGATTTTTAAAGCCAATATTTGTCCTAGGAGACAACTGGGGCCAAGTTTTCCATAGTTTCAAATTTGCTACTGAAATAGATGGGAAGCATAGAAAATAGCAAGTAATGAGACAAGGAATTCTGCCATGATATTATCTATAGCTCACACTGAACACTATAAACAGAATACACTTCCTGCCTTATTTTTAGACCTTTTGTGACAAGAGCTGAACTTTGGTAGAGGCAATGGGGCAAGAACTCAAAGTCCAGTAAGCCAGCAGCAGGCATCACACTTGCCATGCTAATCTTAGATAACAGTTGTTTGCCCTAGACTGCAGTAGTTAAGGCAATCATTACTTTAGGCAGCAGCTCCTTCTATTTCTACTGGTCTTTTGGTTGATCCACCTTCGTGTAATTATAGGCTTGAACACTTGATTTTTAAAGCCAATATTTGTCCTAGGAGACAACTGGGGCCAAGTTTTCCATAGTTTCAAATTTGCTACTGAAATAGATGGGAAGCATAGAAAATAGCAAGTAATGAGACAAGGAATTCTGCCATTATCTTATCTATAGCTCACACTGAACACTATAAACAGAATACACGCCTTATTTTTAGACCTTTTGTGACAAGAGCTGAACTTTGGTAGAGGCAATGGGGCAAGAACTCAAAGTCCAGTAAGCCAGCAGCAGGCATCACACTTGCCATGCTAATCTTAGATAACAGTTGTTTTAAGGCAGCCAAACTTTTATAGACTTTTTTCCTTTCCCCTACTTTTTAATATTACTCTAGCATTTTTTCCTCTTTCAAAGAGTTCTCTAACCTGCTCTTAAATGTAAAAAGATAAATTTCAAGTATCAATTTTTTTCCAGGGAACAAAAGCACAATTTAGAAGCTTCAACCCCAAATGTCTCCTGCCTTTGAGTCTAGATTATTGGACATACCTTGGTTCTTTGACAACACCACCCCTTAATGAGAGTGTAACATGGATAGTGCTGAAAGAACCCATCAGAATTTCTGAGAAACAGGTAAACTTTTGATACTCTCCCAGTTCTTGTGGGCTTCAACACTGGATAAGTCACAGGCAGTGACTGATTTGATTTGCAATGGGGCTAAGTTATAAGACCATTAGCCTGTGAATAATCAGGGCTTCTGCTTTTTTCTGTTAATACCCTCTAGGATCTTTGAACCTGTTCTACTAACAGATTAAAATGTACTGAATACTTTCCTTTGGTCCTTTTTTAAAAACATTAATATTGATTGCCCTCTTAAGCAGTAAATTTTTTCACATGAATTTACAGCTGGAGAAATTTCGCATGCTCCTCTTCACCAGTGAGGAAGACCAGAGGATCCAAATGGCAAATAATTTTCGCCCCCCTCAGCCTCTTAATGGGAGAGTAGTTCGAGCTTCCTTCAAGGCCTGAAGAAAACTGATAATGGCCCTGAGGTATCCAGAGCTTCCACATCTGAGATACTATAAACAAAAACTCTGGTCTTCAGATCACTCATGGAACACACAAGATAGCCATTTCCATGAACACTCTACTTGGAGGGGGACAATCTTCTGATTTTATATTTTGAATTGCTCATTCTTTTGAAAAATGGGTTATTTTTAACTAGCCCTTCTTAATATAAGGGATAGTTGAGTAAACTAGAGTGTTCTCAAAGACCTGAAATTCTAAAAATTAAGATGAAATTAAAATCCCACTTAATATAAAATGGGAAATTATGTAGTGATCTACTAGTACGGATGATCACAACTGATAGTTGTCTCATTTAATACATGATGAAACAGTAGTCAAGAATTTTGGACAAATTTGACTTAAATTTTCTTTACCGATCTCTTTTTTTAGTATTTGCTGAACTCTGTCTGATTTAAAGATTGCTTTCACTGTATTCTTGCTGTCTGTTGACACAGCGCACATGAGTAGCACTAGAAAAAAGTTCTTTACTCACCTCAAGCAGGGACTGGTATGAAAACTACATATATATTTTAAAGTTACTGTTCTAAGATGCTGTTTTATAACTAATTTAAAATAACAATGTAAGTGCTGTGTTTAAAAGCAGGCCATTTTATTGCACAGTGTTGTTCAGACATTTGTTATTTTAGCCCACGCAACATACATAACTAATGCCCTTGTCACTTTTGTTGAAAAGAACATCTATAGTAATTCAGGTATGTGTTTTGTGGTTCTCAATTGTTCAAATTCTACCTCAGTTAAGTGATTTGCTCTGCAATATGACCTCCTTAGCTGTCTGCCCTAAAGAAAGTAGGTATTTTGTTTACTTTAGGGACCTAACATGGGTAGACCTTGACCGCACTGAATGTGCATTGCTGCACAAATCCCCTCACTATGGCAGTCTGTCAGGGATACTCCCTGCAGATAGGAGGTTTCATCAGTCCCAAGTCCTTTTACCTCTTCAAAAGAAAGTTGCTTCAGAAAAGCCATGTGTTAGTATTACTGTTTCTGCAGCTTAGTGACAAAATTCAGACTTGTGTCTCTGGTATTAAATACAGTGATGCTATCTGTAACTGTCCACAGTCTATTTTCAGTTACTTTAATTCTGGGCTTCAAAAGTTCTGCTTCATCTGTATAGTTTAGATAGAAATTGCTGATGTTTATTAATTTTCATCAGCTTAGATGGTAAAATCAACGATGTACAATGTAAAGGAAAGCAGGGGGGGAAAAGGAGAACAGCTACTATGGACTGGTCCCCTTCTTCAGAAAGGGAGAAAGACACTAGATGTGAAGCACAGTACAAGGAATGGAACACTAGAATTCTAGACTTAACTCTTCCACAGTTTTTCTGGTACACTGACCTAAAACTTTCTGTTCCTCAGTTTCCTCTTACATAAAATGAGGGTAACACTGACCTACCTCACAGGGATGTTGTGAGGGCTAATCCAGCATTGTTTTAGATGTGAGATTCTTACACAGCAGATGCTAAAGGAAACAGAAAATCATTACAAAATGCAATGTTTTTAGCTATTATGAATACAAATTTGCTAGTAATGCAAACCAGTATTGCAGAAAATCTATTTAATGTATCTTAATTTCTTTAACAAATGAAATAAATGAGAATTTAAAATCAAGTGTGCATCTCTTGGTCCTTTATTTTTAATAAACCTACCTCTCCCTACTTACAGCACTGTTTTTCTTGGACTTTCATTCACAGAAATGCTGTTTGATATATTCAACTGATGCATCTATTTCAGATCAAGGAATGATTTACTTGCCTTCAGTTTCATAGAAACCTTGGTTATGCTGTAGTAGAATAATCTAAGTACAGATAAGGGTTATCTTTCCCAAGTTTATAATTTTTAAGTTCTAGAAAGCCTACCTGTGTTTAAAAACTATTTTTAGTCTATAATCACAATTCTTCCTATCTTGTGGGACTAATAGTTTCTACTTCAGCTTAATCCTTTCACTCAAGAAATTCTGACATATTTTGTGCATCTTAAATGACTTCTTGCCCAGTCAGAGTTGATTCATGACAACAATAATTTATGTCCCTGTTTAAAATTAGTGTCTTCATGTAGGTTTTAATTTTAACTGTAAAAAGTCTTTCAAAAGAATCTTAAAAATTTGATAGCCCAAATACATTTATTAGGGGTAAATTAAAATACGTTCCTGACTAAACTTTAATCAATATTACTTACCATGTAATAGCTTAATCAAACTACCAAAGTCCTGCTGCAGTAGTATTAGTACACACTTTTTATGGAGCAGGTCACTGATCGATATTTTCAGTGTTTTCTCTCATTCTAGGCGTATAAGTAGGTTTCTGTTCACTCAGTCTCTCACAAAAGGTAAAGAGGGCTGTATACCAAAACTTCGTCCAGTTTTTTCTCCAGCTACAACCACTCAGTCTAATACAATAAAAGTCTTATTTATCAACAGAATGTGTCCATTATATGACTTTGAACATGGTACTTAAGTGTCTTTAAGGATGGCTTACTCATGCACAACAGAAGGATAATGTTTAGCTCCCAAGGTTATTGTAAAAGCTTAGCTATTATAAAGAGCTTTAAATGCTGAATCCACCAAGGTGTTCAGTTTCTGGGAGAAAATGAACTATTTTTGTATGTTTTTAATACAATTTAATGCACTTCATTTATTTTGAGATTATAAAAGCAAACTGCAAGAAAAAAATATCAAATATTCTATGAAATAGTGAATTTTACATTATATGAAATAGTGAATTTTACTGTATATTCAATGAAAAATGCAATCAGTAGAAAGAAAGTATAGTATTCAGTTAGATTAAGCTTTGTTGTACTGTCCTTTCCCTCTGAAAATATCAAATATTATATGAAATAGTGAATTTTACTGTATATTCAATGAAAAATGCAATCAATGATGAAAGAGTATAGTATTCAGTTAGATTAAGCTTTGTTGTACTGTCCTTTCCCTGTAACTGAAAATATAGTCCACCGGGAAAACATAGCAAAAGTGATAACAATAGAACTGATTGTTCCCCACGAAAAGACTTAAAATCACCAATCTAAGTTATTTTTCAGAAGGGGGTGGCATGAAGAGCTTCACCGATGATTCCTTCTCATTTAGCAAAGTTCTAGTAAGAATATTCTGTGGTACAAGGGACAGTATTCCTTTGTATTCCTTTACAGGTTCTTGACTTGTTAGTTAATGTATTGGTTGAAATATAGTTAACTTGAGAGCCCTATAGCAAGAACTCCTTTATTTCTTTTACCAATGTTATTTTACCTTGTTATCCATGAGGTGAGGATAATGAAACCCAAGGACTGTGTACTATATTTATAATATGCTTTGAGACCCTCAGAAGATACTAACTGTAACAGTACAAACTTCTATTTAATAATTCCACTTTCGATCTATGTTTCGGTGCTTGCATATACAGACGTGACCATCAATTTACAGAAGTGCTGCACTTTGTAAGACCATAGGAATCAAGCCACTATTACCAGTTTGCTTGTCTGAACTCCTAACAATATTCTAGCTAGCACCTCTAGCACAAATGTCCCCCTCAAAGGCAATTCATAGGGCCAAATACCTGTGCTATGCGTCAGTACTTTTTGAGGATTTTCAGAAACTTCATTTTTTCTGTTTTCCTTCTGACTTGTCTTCCCCTGCACACAAACATTACTCAGCAAAGCTCCTCCACCAAGGTCATTCAAATTCTAGAACATATGCTATCCTTATCTTCTACCAACTATGTTAAAGGAAAAATAGCAGTTGACCAACTACTCCAGCAGGACTGAGCTTAACTTGTAATAGGATCACAGTTGTCATGACTGAGAGAACACGAGGCCTTACGTTTAGGACAGTGACTGAAATTGCACAGCTGTAAAAGCTAGACTAAAAATGCCATCTAGTGGCTGGCTGTTTCCATTTCTTACCACAACGCTTAAAACAATTGAACACTTAACGCTTAACAATTTTTAAGGCCAATTCAGTCAAAATACAACAGATGAGAGAATTTAACTTTAACAATAATTATTTTTAAAGGTATGGGTCAATGTAATTGAAATCCCTGTGCTGGCAGTCCTTGAAACTCCTCTATCAGATAAAAATCCATCTTACAAAACAAACTCAATAAATCAGTTACAATTTTTTGTTCCTCTTTTCACTGACAGAGTGGAGATATCCTCTGCCTGGTAAACGGCACACTATGTTAACTTTAACTTTTTAACTTTAATAGCTATAGTTAAGGTTCAACTTAGGTTTCTTTCCCATCCTCTGCAAACAGAAAGATTTTTAGGCAGTTTCAGTTATATAGTTGAAATGATCTGATTTATAATGATTTATAATGATAAATTTCATGATGAGTGTAAATTAACCCAAACATAAGCATCAGGGGAAAAGTGTTGCGAGGTACCTTGTCACCAGATGGTGCTTTTGGTAGTGTTCAAAGGTCAGAAGGATAAAAAAGGAAGCGTTTCAGGAAAAAAGCAGAGATAAGTCTGAAAAAAATGAGATGTTATCTTATACCTCTGAATTCCTTCTGCATGCAAAAGTGACCGTTTAGTAAAGACACCGAGTATCAAAGCATGTTGCTCTACGCTGACTGTAAGGGGGGGGAGGGTGTTAAGTTTTTTCTCACTTACCCTGAGGAAACTAGAGTATACTGATGAAACCTGACTGACTTCAACAGAACTATTCCCAATTTGCATGGCTGTAAGGCAGAGAATGATTTATACCTCAGTATAAATGCATTTATACTGCTACCTGCATTACATTTGAATCTTAGTAAAATTTCAGCCCCTCACTCCAGGTTGTGAACAGCAACATAGTAATACAAACCGTCATTTCGTTTCATTTCACATTAAGATAGTGGAATATTAAATGCAGCAATCCAGGAGTCAACCCATCCTGTTCATCTGTTGGAGGGGAAGAAAGTGGAAGGACGAGAGGGAGGAAAGGAATACAATTACTTTTCTACACATGAGCACTTCATACCAAGCCAGAAGACTTTCCT